CTCTGAGCCACCAGCAACTAAGGCTTAAAAGTATCTGGACATTAGAAAACAAAATGATGTAGCTATGGTTAATTTTACTAAGTAGAACACAGATCTTTCTTTTACAGCATCTATAAAATGTATCAACATAAGCTATTGCTAAAGCATTCAGAGGCTAAAAAGCAACTTCAGAGTATAAAAATTTTATCAATGTGGTCACCAGACTTCCCCCTAAATCCCATAGTAATCCTATGGAATCTAATCTAAAAAACAGCCATCAGCCAATCTGTCCCTTCAGTGCTCCTAGAGCCCTCTCTTCCAGAGGCCTTCTGGTGTAAGTTTGACAGCTGGTTCCGACAAAGACCCAGTTTAACCTACCGACAGGCACAAGGCCTGTCTTATTCAAACATGCCGCAAATATTTACTGAGCTCTTACTATGGGCCAGGCATTGTACTAAGTACTATAACGATGAACAAGATGCTATCCCTGCCTTCAACGAGTTTAAAGTCTAGAGAAGAAGATGAACAGAGGCAGCATGAGGATCTATAAGAAGGTATGGAGTTGGTAGAAAGAGCAGTAAACTCAGAGCCATGAAACCTCGGCTCTAACTCAGTTTCCTCCTGTTTGAGCAGTCTAAGATTTGGCAAGCCATGTTCTCTCTCTGGGCTTTAGTCTTCCATTTATAAAACAAATGGACTAAAAAGATGATATTTAAGGTCCTTTTCAGCTATTAGTCTATGTTCCAAAAGAAGGTAAAATTGCAGAAGCAGCAGCAGCAATATCCGCTGAAGACTTAGCATATGCCAGAAATCTTACTAGAAACCATTTACTTAAGATGCAATTTTTGTATGAAGTGGTATTACCGGCATTACTACATCACTTTAAAAAGAAAAAAACTGGAAGGAAGACTGGTTTAATTATGTTTCTTTGTACAGTTATACTCTATTTACAAGAAGAATCTAAAGTGATTTATGGTAAAAATACATAAAGACTAAGCCTTAATGAGAAATAAAGACCACAATAAGTAATAAATGTAAGAAGGGTACAACAAAAATTACTTTTTAAAAATTAACAGGCCATGTCAGAAAGCCATGGTAACTGAATTGAATCCTATCCTAAACCTAACTTGCCTGACAGCCAAAGAAAAGAGGGAAATGCAACTACACATGGAGCTCTTAGGAGAAAAGAAGATACTAGCCCAAAAAATCTTTTTCATGTCGAGATATAAGACGAACTGCAACCATGTGTTTAGTTTGTTTCTCATGGGGAAGCAGGAAGTGAGAAATGAAGGGAAAAAAATTTTTTTAAATAATTAATTAAACCAGTTTTCAAATACTTAAACATTTAACTTTACAATTATATATCCTACTTATGGTTCACATTCATATTTTTCAATTAACACATACTTTGTGATTAACCTAGCAACAATCTTGGGTAAACTATCTGCCTATTTAGGAAAAAAAATTCATTTTCAAAGGATGTATAACTTCATTAAGGCAGGTGAATCACGAGGTCAAGACATCGAGACCATCCTGGTCAACATGGTGAAACCCCGTCTCTACTAAAAAAAAAATACAAAAAATTAGCTGGGCATGGTGGCGCATGCCTGTAATCCCAGCTACTCAGGAGGCTGAGGCAGGAGAATTGCCTGAACCCAGGAGGCGGAGGTTGCGGTGAGCCGAGATCGCGCCATTGCACTCCAGCCTGGGTAACAAGAGCAAAACTCTGCCTCAAAAAAAAGAAAAAAAAGGAGAGAAAAAAAAAAGAACTTCATTAATATGGCTACAAAGCCCTCTTTACTTTGATTTGTTTTTCAAATGGAAACAGATTGACCCACTGGCAAGACTTACAGAAGCTACTGAGGCATTCCTTCCAAAATAATCACCTCATCAGTCATGCCTATTCACCCTTACCTCCAGGCTTTTGTGCTTAAGAAAGAAAAGTTTATAAAGTAAACAGGAAAAACAATGGCAGATTCATTTGATTCAAGTACAGGTATAAAACCTTTAAGTTTTTACACATTCTTTAGAAGAATTTGCAGGGAAAAAAAACCTACTGTTGTTGCTTTAACAGACAGAAAAAAACAAAATTATAATTTTAATCATTTTTAAGTATACAGTTACATTGTTATACAACTATCACTATGCTAATTCTTTCTGAATATGTCCCTCTGCTACATCTTATTGTCAGCATTAGTAATTCTGTATTGTTTTCCTAAATATAATTTGAAACTGAAACTTAATGTTTTCTTATTTAAGGAAAGGGCATATTCTAAATAAGAGATGAAATTTACAGTATTACTATAATTGATTTTGCAAACTAAGGTTTCCATGACATCAGTAAGCTATTTCCTAAAAAGAAACCCTTATTACTAAACCCAACTGTCTTGATAACTATACTAACAATTAAACCTCGGTTGTTTGAAAGAAAGTAAGTCCCAAAACCCAAAAATGGGTAATACTGATTATAAGCATTTCTTAACAGCAAAATCTTCAGTGAATATTTTCCTATTAGTTCCTTTGTGTCTCAATGATATAGAACATGGTCAAGGATGGGCTAGAAGAGGAAAAGAAGGTATTTAAGAGATATTCCAGAACCACTTATAATCAAAAGCACACTCCTCCACATAGGCTTTGAAATTTTGTTCATTAGAAAATAATTTTTTGTGGTAGGAATTTCTAAGTAATGAAATATTAACCTGCTACCCCTCTTTTAAAAGAATGAATTACAGGGTATAAGAGACTGGAATTACTGATAAGCAATTTGCCCATCAGTATCTACTGCAACTAACTGGGGCAATTGTCCCTTGGTATCATATTTGGATTTTAATATAAATTTTTTCTAAGTTGTTTTAAATTATGAGATATTAATTAATCACAGATTTCATAAAACAATATTTATTGGCTTCAGGGAATATTTATTGTCACTTGATAGGAAAGAAAAATTTGATCTTTTTCTCTTTTCAGTAGATCCCTCTTAGAATCATTAAAATATGTCTCCTATGAATTGGGGGAAAATCCATACATACAACCAGGAGCTGACAATTTTTAGTCAAGCAATCTTGATTTTTTTTTATTTAACTTTAGAAGGCATCTATAGTTCAAGTTCAAACAATGCAAGAGTCCCGTCTTCATCATGAATAGAAGAAAGGACATTGGCTTACTTACTGGGCCCTGTTTACATCAAGCAAGCCTAAATGACTATGCTACAGTGGCCATTTAATAAATGTCAAATGAGTGAATAAATATTCTGAGAGGTACTTTCTTGGGAAAAGAGCTGCCATTACCTAGAGAAAGGGAAGCATTTAAGGGAAAGGGAGATTCAGTGAGTTTTACTCTCAGAAATAACAGGAAAATCAGACTACTCTCAAAGAACATACACACACAAAAAAAGATTCTGAAATTAAAACTGTATAAAGGATCATAATAGGAAGCATTTTATAGTATTTTTAAACTTTGGTAGCTTCTTTTTGTCATACTTATGAGTAACTAGGAGTAAAAGCCTTATGATAGAAAGGGTCTATCTAGCTGTGGACAGGCACAGTGGCTCACACCTATAATCCCAGCACTTTGGGAAGCTGAGGCAGGTGGATCTCTTGAGCCCAGGAGTTCCAGACCAGCCTGGGGAACATGGCGACATCCCATCTCTATACAAAATACAGAAAACAAAATTAGCTGGGCATGGTGGCACACACCTGCAGTTCCAGCTACTCAGGAGGCTCAGATGGAAAACTGCCTGAACCCAGGATGGCAAGGCTGCAGTGAGCAATGATTATACCCCAGCTTAGGCAACAGAGAGAAAGATCCTGTCTCAAAAAAAAAAAAGAAAGAAAGAAAAAAAAAAAAAAAAGAAAAGGTCTGGTTGTGTATTCACAGGAGCAGCCAGAAAGAGAGATCTACTAAATAATACTGGTGGGAAGGAAGAGCTGAACCCTAGAGGTAAGGGTGACCAATACCAGCTTTCAGCAAAAAAGAAAATGAACTGGGGTAAAGATTGTGTCTTTGGCCAGACACAGTGGCTCACACCTATAATCCCAGCACTTTAGGAGGCTTAAGCATGCGGACTGCTTGAGCCCAGGAGTTCAAGAACAGCCCGGGCAACATAGGCAATAATTTGTCTCTACACAAATATTCTCAAAAATTAGCCAGGCATGGTGGCACACACCTATGGTCTCAGCTATTCAGGAGGCTGAAATGGGAGGATTGCTTGAGCCCAGGAGATTGAGGCTACAGTGAACCATGACTGCCCAACTGTACTCCAGCCTGGGTAACAGAGTGAGATACTGTCTCAGAAAACAACAACAACAACAAAACAGATTGTATCTTTACACGTGTATATTAAAACAGAGCATCATATGTAGCAGCGGTTCACAAGATGTCTGCTGAATGAATGTATGCATGACTCCTTCCTTCCTTCCTCCATTTCTTCTTCCCTTCCTTTCCTTCCTCCCTTCTATCTATTCATCTTTCCTTTCTTCCTCCTAGTCCTTTATTATCCTTCTAGCACCGATCATCCATCCAATTTCTTCTTCCTTTCCTTCCAGGGCCTACAAAGTCTAAAGGATCAAGACATTCCTTGACAAGGGTCTTAAAAACTTTTCAGTTTGCCCTCTTGAAACCTATAAAGATATTTTTTAGGTCTAGGCATCGAAAAGAAAATAAGTTCTGGCCTCACTTCCTCCTAAGAACTTTAAAGTCCAGATGTAGAGTCCTGTGGATACTGTCAGACTGTAGAAGACTTTGTTGTTTCCTCCCAAAATAAAAGGGTCACACTTGGCAGCAGAGCAATTAGCACAATCCTACCCTGAGGATGTCAGAAATGGGTAAATATTACTTTTTTTGAAAATTTCAGGTCAGCCCTGTCTCCAGTAGTCCATATTTGAAAACCAATTCCCACCTCTTTTCTCCCCTTCCACCTCCCCACCAAAGTAGCTACAATGAATCCCTTTGCTCTCCCAGTCCCTTTTACCTCATATCCCAAAACCAAAGAACCCTGACTGAATTCATCATCAGTCTCTTACCCTGCCAGGAAAGCTAGGGAGTAGGAGTTGTTCTTGGAAACAAATGCTGAGCGATGTGTCTGTGTCATCTGGCCTCGAGAAGGTTCTTCATTCTCTGAATCTGAGAGACGTGCAGGACACTGGCAGGGAGACAAGAGACACAACATTGTCCATTTGGAGTCCCAAGGAAGATCTACTCTAGCTATAGGTTCAAATCTCACTTCTCTGTGAGCTCCAACCTATGTTTCCAGCTGCCTCCTGGAGATACCAATCTCAAATGTAGTTCAAATTAAATATATCCAATATCAAACTCACTATATTTCTCTTCTGTAAGCCCCATCATCAACCAATCTAGAAAACTAAATGCTATCTATTTCTGTCCCTTACTTCTAATTCACGGTAACATTTGGATAGCAGCTTTAGGTACTCCCAACACTTTTAAATATTTTATTTCATTTACGGTTTACATCACTCTCATTAAAAACCGGGATGATTATGTCTTTTACAGACAGCAAACTGAGGCTCAGAGTAGTTAATTTGCCTGTAATTACAGGGTTAATAAATGGATAATTTAACTTAAATTAAGAGCATTAGTCTCCAAATTGTCTCCATGCTATTTCCACTCTATTCTATTCTACTTCTAAAATGTCTCTTGGATCTAACTCTTCCCATTTATATTCATTGTAATTGCCTTACCTTAGATTTTCATTATCTTTTGCCTGGACTACTGCAATAATTTTCTTACTGGTCTTATTCTCTTCAGACTTTCATCTCTCTAAAACCCTCCATCTCTCTAACACCACCAAGAATTATCTTTCCAGCACACAGAACCCTATCACTCCCTTGCTTAACTGCTGGTAACTTCAGGGTAAAGTCCAACTGCCGCAGCGTGATACTATAACCTTCACAAACTAGACCTAACCTTTCATGGCTTTTCCCCCTACCAGTTCCCACACATGGAACTCTCTGAGCTCTAGTACAACCAAACTACTTTTTCTCTCCACGTGTACCACAGTCTTTCAAGACCTCTATCTACTCTTTTGGATATGCTACACCCTTTGCCTAAAATTCCGTCTGCACTCTCTGCCTACAAAATACTCATTGGCCTTTCAGAGTCATCTAAAATGCCACTTTTTCTGCAAAGGCTTCCAAATTATCCTAGAGTTAGTTCTTCCATCTTGTTTATATCCATTCATTTATCTTTGTTTTACTTTGGAGTCCCTTTTTAGAGTCTTTCCAATTACATTAGAAATGTTCTAGAGGTATATCTTTTACATATAATATAATGAAGTTTTGCCTCATTATTCAACATGAAAGTCTTTTTCTTTTAATGGATAGCAACTAATCACAATGAAATGTAGCTTCCTGTTTAGGGGTCTGTTCTGCCTTATGCAGCCCTGTGAGAGCAAGTGACCCTCTTTTTAAAACACTTCCAATCCATTATACAGTAGGTAAATAAAAACTGTCTAATCAACTGATTAGATCAACCAGTTATCTAATGATCAAATGATTATCAAACTGAGAGTTGTAGATGTAAGCACACAAGGCATCATATGGCTCCGAGTACCCTGCATTCCTGAATTGCTTTGTTATTCTCTAGGCTGATAGGCACAGCAATACAACAGACTATATTTCCTAATAGTTGGCCTTCAAGAGAGATTTGAAGAATTGCAATTTACAGAGAGGCCTTTCAGTTTTGTAGAGTATGGTTCCTCAGAGAACCCTGTTGTACAAAATATGCAATGAAGAAACTTTAATAGCACTAACTCATTACCAAATTTTATAATATTCTCTTCTCAACTCTAGAAAAAAGAAAAGCTTGGATACCAATAGACTCAACAGGGAATAAATAATGGCAATTTCTGTCTATATAAGCCTCTCTTCATAATTAATTCAGTACCAAGTAAAAAGTATGCAAATCCCATCTCAGTTAGCTATCCCTGTCACTGTGGGTTAGTTGCTTTATCTTTCTGAGCCTCAGTTTCCTTATCTGTAAAATAAAGATTGCTCTGTCTACTATACAGACTGTGAGAAGACATTAAAAACACCTAGAGTATATTAGCTAATAAATAAGTGCTCAAAAAGATAGATTTTATTTGTATTAACTTCAAAATTATTAATCTTTTAAGAACAATTCAGTTTTCTAATAGATATATGCCAAGTTCCTTTCAATTATTACAAAATAAATTACATTAGAAATAAATAACTAATTGTTTAGACAAAAGCTATCCCACCCATCTACATTTCTATTCCCAATATTTACCCCTCGTCTTTCATCTTTGATAAAAATAAGCCCCAAAGCACTATGGATTCCTAAAATTGTACAAAGAATGCATAAATTAAATTCTTGCAGTGGCATCTAAAACAATGTTGTGCCAAAAAAAAGTAGAAGAGTGATAATATTCAAAGTTGGCAAAGTGTGGGGAAATCAGTTTAGTACTCCTCATATACTACTGGTGGAAGTATAATAAATCTCTAAGAAATATAAACCTTCTAGAGGGCAGTTGGGTAATAAACACCAAAAATGTTAAAAAGAACACTCCTTTTGACCTGGTCCTTCTACTTCTAGTATATTCTACTAATTAGAGAGAGAGAGAGAGAGAGAGAGAGAGAGAACTAGATTCCATCATAATGGGGTTTAAGATAGCAAAATATAAAAAAAAACCAAAACTTAAATTCTACAGTCCAGAATATCAGGAGACCACTGGATAATGATCACCAGATTCTTTATTTACACAAAAAAACAGGCCAGGTATGGTGGCTCACACCTATAATCCCAGCACTTTGGGAGACTAAGGTGGGCGGATCATGAGGTCAAGAGATCCAGACCATCCTGGCCAACATGGTGAAACCTTGTCTCTACTAAAAATACAAAAATTAACCAGGTGTGGTGGCACACGCCTGTAGTCCCAGCTACTCGAGAGGCTGAGGCAGGAGACTAGCTTGAACCTGGGAGGTAGAGGTTGCAGTGAACCGAGATAGCACCACTGCACTCCAGCCTGGGAGACAGAGCAAGACTCCATCTCATAAACAACAACAACAAAACAGTATGAATACTAGGTTACATTTTCTGAAAAGAAAAACAATATATGGTATGTATTTACATGTTCTTAAAAAAGAAGTCTATAAGGATATGCACCAAAACATTTATAGGGATCATTTCTAGGTTGTGGGATGACAAATAATTTTTCACTTTTTGCTTTATAATCTTTAGTATAATTGCTGTATCAAATTGTTTTCTAATAATCTGCATTATTATTAAATTAAATGTACCATAACAAGTTATAATAAATTAAACATGGTGCCCATTTTATTTCCATTCTTAAAAAAATAAGATGATAATCTGCTCCTAGAGTAAGCTCCTTTCTCCTTCCATTCAAATTTAATTTCATAAACATGTATCAAACGCTTCCAATGTGTAAGGTACTACAGGAGATTTTTTAAATGGGTAATAAGACATTTCCTATACTCAGCAAATCTACAATCTAGTAGAGAAACAGAAACACACAAAAAACCATGATGAAAAGGAAAATGAGAGAACTCTTGTAAAAGTTACAAAGTGAGGGTTTGGGAGAGTGGCTGATGGGAGTGGAGAAACAGAGGAGGAATCCCTATAGGTTTCATGAATGTAACAGCTTTTGAACTGGACATGAAGGATAAATAGCCTTCTCACAGTTCAGCTGCATGGCATTTCAATGAGATGTAAATGCAAGAGCAAAAACCTTGAAAGGGAAAGCAGTGTCTGTGCATTTAGGGGAAAGCAAATATATACTCCTTAGAGTTTCGGGGTATAAGCAAGGATAAAAAGACAAGCTAGAATCACACTGAGGACCTAAATGTTGGGGTAAAGAATCCTCATTTAATTTCACAGGAAAAGGAGTCACTGAAGTTTTAAGGACAGGAAAGTGAAATGATCAGTCTCACTCTAACCACAATAGTTTCTATATAAAAAAATAATCTCTTAGTCAGCTTTCTTAAGATTCTTTTGGGTCTCAATTTGAATGTAGTCTTGACCAAACTAAATGGAATTATTTGCCCAACACCAAAAACTCTTAAATTAGAGCCACTTAAAAATCCTCAAAAATATAAAAGCAGCCCAGGCACACTGGCTCATGCCTGTAATCTAACACTTTGGAAAGCCAAGGTGGGAGGATCCCTTGAGCCCAGGAGTTTGAGACAAGCCTGGCAACACAGGGACACCCTCTTCTCTACAAAATAATAAAAATAAAATAAAAGCTGCCCAGCCATGGTGGAATACACCTGTGGTCCCACCTACTTAGGAGGCTGAGGCGAGAGGATTGCTTGAGCTGGGAGGTCAAAACTGTAGTGAGCCATGACTGTGCAAATGCACTCCAGCTTCAGCAACAGAGCAAGACCCTGACTCCAAATAAGTAAATAAAAGCAAGCAGAAAACAAGGCAAAAAACACAAAAATCTAAAACTTGACACGTTCATAGGTCAGATTTTATTCAATGCATTTCTAAAACTGACTGTTGCCAAGAAACAAATCAGAATTTGTACTTTCTGATTCCTTTTAAGATTAAAATTAGGTGGATGCACTTGATTTCTATTTCAAAAATGGTAGTGGCAAATGAAAAAATAATTAGAGAAATGTCCCAGTCTTGGCATGACTCAGGAACAGCAGGTTGTTTCTATCAAAGGACTATAGTTAAGGGTAAGCACTTTCTAGCAAGACTAGTTTATCTTTCTGGGTTGTTCTGCCTGAGGACCCTAATGGGCAGAAGAACTCTCAGTGTGAAGAGGTAGAGCTGCGGTCTTCAGAAACTACAGACCACAGCTTGGGCTTCTAGTCATACAACATACTACATGCACAAGACCATCACAGAGCTTATTCTTGCTTTCCTAGCTAAATTATAGCCTTTTTAGTAGCAGTCTTTGTTGCCCTCTGGGGTTCCTAATGTTCAAAGCATTAAGAGTACACAAGCACTTCATGCCTGTAAAGTGAACCTTTTGGATGGTTGAAACCCAGTGGTTGTTTTTAATGATAATTAAATAGCAATAATTACAACTAGAATCAGAAGCTCCACATGTATGTGGCACTCAGCAAACACTACTGTCCAAGAAAGCTTAAAGAATTTCCCTTTTAAGTTTCAGGAAAAACTTTTCTTTTTTGCAAAAATAAAACCAAGGCTAGGCAGTGGCTCAAGTCTGTAATCCCAGCACTTTGGGAAGCCAATGCAAGCAGATCACGTGAACCCAGGAGTTCAAAACCAGTGTGGGCAAAATGGTGAAACCCTACCTCTATAAAAAATACAAAAATGAGCTGGGTGTGGTGGCATAAGCCTGTAGTCCCAGCTACTTGGGAGGCTGAGGTAGGAGGATTGCTTGAGCCTGGGAAGTCGAGGCTGCAGTGAACTGTAATTACACCACTGAACTCCAGCCTGGGCAACAGAGCAAGACCCTGCCTCAGAAAAATAAAAATAAATAAACCCAGAAGCATAAAGAAATTAAGTAACTTGGTCAAAACTGTACAACACTTACAATGCTGGGACCTGTGTAAGGGGCAGACTTCTGATCCAGAGATTCCCTCCCACCCATTCTATGTTTCCTGTAGTTATATACGGTAAAGTTTTATCAATTCTAGTTGACTAGAAAGATAACCTGAAATATTAACAAGCCTGAATCACAAAGTATTCCGAAAGAAAGGAGTCTAAAAATGTGTTAAGAACATACAGCAAACAATATATGTCCAATCCAATATGACTTACTGAAGAAATAAAACTCAACTGTGATTATCCATCTGGGTATAATGAGTGGATCCTCCAAAAGTGCCTTCTTATGTTAAGTTAAATACACAACTTGCAACCTTTTCTAGTAATTTACTTGGTAAATAAGTAATGAAAGACTCAGGCAAGATATGGCTCAATTAGAAGTCTAATTAAATTTAGATTAAGTATCTAAACCTACCTTATAGCCATATTGTGCTGCTTAGGGTATTACAATGAATAAAGGAAAGTAAAATACACACTTTAAGAAAATCTAGTTGAGGACAGAAGACAATGTACAAAACTTAAATGTCAAATAACACATAAGTCAAAATAACAACATATATATAAATCTTATCACAAGTAGTAAACTATACTAGGTTTTTCCTCTCACTCACGGGCGCAGTTTTCCACTGTTCCTTAATCTTCCCACAAGTCTCAATATCCCATTCAAAAATTATTTTCTCAATCTCTGGCCTGGACATAAGTTCTTCACTACTCTTAAGCTGCACAGTCAATGACTGTTACTGGTCTCACAGTTTACCAACATAGGTCTTTCAGGTCCAGCTCACCTGGGCTAATGACTGATTTTTGAGACAGATGTCCATTAAAAAGGTGATTTACTTACACGTTCCAGATTTGTTTTCAGTACTAATGGCTCATCTCTTTTTTTCTGTTCATCCATTTTCCTTCTCCTTGTTTCTGTATCTTCTGGTAACAGCTTGTGGATTTGATCTTCAGAGGGTTTTTCCTCTTGTAACTTTTCTTCTCTGAACTAAAAATACAAATTATACAGACAGAGTAGAGTTTTACGCAACTATAAACTTTAAAACGTCTTTTACTCTGTAGTTTATTACAACAAACAGACCACACGGCAGTTTTGAGACTAATTTTTCTTATCAGATATAGAGCCCTCTTGATTTCTAAGTAAGTCTGCTTTTACTTGGCTCTTGCCAAACACACTCTTCAGAGCTTAAGATTTAACTGCTCTGCATTCTTAAGCAATATAAAATCATAAAAGCTAAGATAATACACATTATCAAAAAATAAGGTATAGTCACATAGCCAAAAAACAGCTAAGCCTGAAAACCTCCTTATTCCCATAAGCCAGATGTAACTGCACTGGACTAGGAGAAGAGCAGAGATGGCCACAGAAAGCCAGAGAAGCTGGACTAGACCTCCTTAGCAATAGAAAGAATGACAATGCAGTTCTAATGTCCTACATTTTTATGCTCTTATCCTGTTATCACAGGATAAGTCAAGATACATGGTTTACAAAGAAATTTTGTTTTAATTTTATAATAGTAGAGATGGGGTCTCACTACGTTGCCTAAGCTGGTCTTGAACTCCAGGGCTCAAGCAGTCCATCTGCCTCGGTCTCCCTAAGTGCTGGGATTATAGGCATGAGCCTCTGCACCTGGCTGTACAAATAAATTTATGGCAGAGAGATATGTTCTTTATTTTGGGGAGGTGGCACGGCATTATCAAGCATGGGATTGGAATAAAAACCTTGGTGACCTTGAGCAAATGAAGCATCATTTGCTTGTCTCCAAAAGAGGAATAATGCTACTTACCCTGCAGAAGTAAATGAGATAACAATATAACAGTATTTATTAACAGAGTCTTGCTGTGTACCTGCAGTATGTCCATACTCCATTTCTACTTTTATTCCTTTTTCAATGTCTAGAGTTTTAATAACATTTAAATAAGATGATGTATAGCAAGGCAATTATAGGCTACTAATATTTTTAATCATTCTTATGGAAAGAAAGTAAGCTAAAAACAAGTATTTTTGATAGGTTGTTGCCTCAGGGTTAAAAAAAAACCCACAGCAACAATAAACAACAACAAAGTCTTACCTTTCCAATTTCTACAGTCTGATTTTTGTAAGCCTGAACAAATCTTTAAGATATTAGTTTAATTCATGAGGTTATAAATATGCAAAGAATACCAAACACAGTGCTGTGCCAGAAGGAGATTAAAATAAAATAAAGTACTACCAACTCTGCCCAATCCAAACAGGAACACAGAGGGAGGCAAAGCAAATCCATAGCTGGGGAGAAAACAAAACTATAGTCTATACTAACTGCCTACATAAAAGATTTAAGGTCTTTTAAAGATCTCAAATGAGAAGACCTTACTCAGTAACTTGACTACAAGCTATTATAAAGGGGTGGTTTACTTTCAGAGGATAGAGAAGCATAATGGTTCAAAAGAGAACAGGTTTTAGCATCATGGGAATGATCATCTACTGAACTGTGTGTGTAGATGCTGAGCCAAGCACTATGTCTACATTATCTCACGTAGGAAAACTAAGATTTAAGTGTTAGGTAACATGTTTAAAATCACACTGCCATAGGCATGGGGATGGAATGCAAATCAAGGTCTATCTCAGCAATTCTCAACCAAGAATTATTCTGCCTCCCTCCCCAACCTGCCAGAACATTTGGCAAGTCTGGAGACAATTTTGATTGTCACCATGGGGGACTAAAGTCTATGTGCTACTAAACATCCTAAATGCACAGTATAGCCCCCTCCAATATGTATGTAAATATTGCTATTTTTAAGAGAACTAAATTCTAAATTTCCTGTTTTATATATCTTAGTATTATTTTATTTGGTGCTTAATGGTGTTAACATACTATGTTCTCTGGCTTTTCTAGTGTTTTAGAATGTATCCTTCTGCCTCCAAATAATTTATTTTTTTAAAAATAGAGATAGAAAAAAAAAAAAAAGAGAAAGAGATAGGGTCTCACTATGTTGCCCAGGCTGCTCTCAAACTCCTGAGGTCAAATGATCCTCGCACCTCCCAAAGTGCCATTATTACATGCGTGAACCACTGTGCCCCGCTTCCTAGTAATTTTACTGCTGCTCTCAAAGTTTTTGACATGTACTTGTGTTGCTGGCAAACAACCTTTTCGTTGCAATGCTGAGTCACTGTTAACAGACCATTAGCTAAAAATTTATGAAAGTGAAAAAAAGTATCCATTTAAATATTCAGATGAAGTATGTCGGTGTTTTCTTAATATACAGTTCTGTACAAGTTTTTGTTTCTTTGTTTTCATTGCTTTTGGTTGTTATTTATAAGGATTTGAGAACTTGGTCTCTAGAAGAGAGTTTTTATACTGAAAAAGACTAAGGGAGGGTCAGAAAGTAGCATTTTAAACTTAAATGAAAATATCAGTTGCCGTTGTTTATTGAACTGTTCTATGTTCTAGGCATTAAGTTTATCAAACTTCCCTCAGGGCACTCTGTATTTATTTATCATTACTATTTCATAGAGACAAAAACTAAGACTTAGTGGCTATCTCTCAAATCACAGTCATTAAGTACTGAGCTTGGATTTTAAAGCAAACCATTGTCTTCAGACACCAGTTTCTCAGCTTCAGCACAAATGATATGCCCGCCTGCGTAATTCCTTGTTGTGAGGGCCTGAGCAGTCTGAGAAGGCATGAATACTTTAGCAGGGAGCAGAAGTTAAAGACAGAACAGCATACCCAAAAAAGACAGAGAGCCAATATAAAGTACTACAATAGTTGGCCCACTAGTTGGCTACAGGTATATGAAATGTATCTCAAGACTGTCGGTCTGAGGTGAGAAAAAAGGAAGGATGTATCTATTGGCTCCCACATCCTACTGACCAAAGTGTGCCCCATGGAGTGTTAAATACTCCACATTGATTGGCTTGTACAACCTGAGTACATTCCCATGGTAGGTACTGCAACAGAGACAACAGAGAAGCCATAAAGCTAAAAAGCAGCAGGACCCTAAACAAGAAGATAGAATGAAGACTTCCACTACTGTAAATGAGGTCATTTTTACTGCTTCCATTTTCAGATGCTAATTACTAGAGAAAAGTTATTGTCATCTGTACATTAATTTCATACTCAGCCACACTACCAGGAATACTACACAATTTTTTCCTGAAAATACCTTTACTTTTCCCTCAATTTCTAAAACTAAAAATTTAAAAATCAAAGTATAATATACACACAGAAAAGTATACAAATAATTAGTGTAAGCCATGATAAATTATCCATTCACCACCACCAAGATCAAGAAACAGTTTATTATCACCAGTACCCCTTCTGCTTACCCCTCACCTAAAAGTGAGTGAACTATGGTAGAAACCATGATCCTGCCTGGCTTCTAACACCAAAAAAATCATTTTACCTATTTCTCAAGTTTGTGTAAGTGAAGTCTTACATGGTTACTGAATCTTTCTGCCTTCGCTCAACATTCTACTTGTGATATTCATCCATGTAAGTACAGTTTATTGTTTCTTGTTTTGCTTTATAGTATTCTGTTGTTTGACAACAAAACAATTTAACCATCCTATTGTTGGTGGATATTTAAGTAATTTTTATTTTTGGATATTTAAAAAGTGGGTGCTAAAAATATTATTGAATATGTGTGCAGGTATACACATACTGTTCTTTGGAGTATATCTTAGAACAGAAACTGCTGAGTCACAAGGTATGGGCATGCAGCCACAGTTTTCCAAACTGGTTGTACAAATTACACTCTTGCCTCCCCAGTGTAGAATGACAGTTGCTCCCAGCCTTGCTGACACTCAGTACTATTTGTCTACTTTAGCCATTCCAAAGTGTATATATGGATATTGCATTATTACTTTAATTGCATTTCGCTAATGACTAAAGATGTACAACAGCTTTATGTGTTTATTATGTGGAAATCCTTTTATCAAGTGCCTATTGATATCTATGCCCTTTTTTCTTTTAGATGGTTTTTCCCTCTAGTAATTTGTAAAGAGTTCTTCATATTTTTTGGATATGAAGCAGTTGTCAGGAAAAAATATATAAATACATATGTATGCATATATGTATGTACGTGTGTGTTTGTATATATATACATGTATCCTTTTTTTCCCCTCTCACACAGAAGCTTGCCCTTTTCACTGTCTTAGTACAGCTGTCACTCAGAACATGTGGGGGACTGGTTCCAGGATTCCGCATGTACCAAAATTCATGCATACTCAAGTCTCAAAGCAGGCCCTGCAAAACCCGCCTAAATAAAAAGTTGGCCCTCTGTATCTGCGGGTTTTGCATCCCATGAATACTGTATTTTCAATCTGTAGGGTTGAAAAAAAAAAATGTGTGTGTTAGTGAACTCACGCAGCTCAAATCTCTGTTATTCAAAGGTCAACTGTACCCTTTTGAAGACAGGTTGTACCAGGTTCTAATGCAATTCAATTTATCAATCTTTTACTTTACAGGTAGTCCTTTTTCTATCACATTTGTAAATGTTGCTTACCCCAAGGTCATGAGAATATTCTCCCATGTTATCTTTAACAAGCTTATTATTTGACCTTTCGGTCTACTTAGAATTGATTTTTTATGTTAAGACATAACCTACATATAATATGACATATATGGAATGTATAGCTCAATGAGTTTTGTCAAACATACATATCCATGTAATAATATCTCTAATCAAGATATAGAACATTTCTACCATCCCCAGAAAGTCCTTTTGAACCTATTAGCAATCAATCTCTCAAACCACTTAGCAACAGGCTACCACTAATCTGATTACTATGTTATTAGTTTTGCCTATTATAAAAATATGCAGCATGTATTTCTTTATGTCAAGTTTCATTGTCAGCATGATACTTTTGAGACTGATTCATCCATGTTATTGAGTTACTATTAATACACTCCTTTATATGGATAAGATATAATCCATTGTATGAATAAACCACAATTTGGGTTATTTAGTTCTGGGCTATTATGAATAAATCTACTATGGACATTT